CGCAACAGACTGTCATACGTGGCGTTCCAGAGGTCCGGGCCAAGTACAGACCCCTGTGCCGCTCCGCCGGTTATACGTCTCTTTCTCTGACCTTGTGTTGTGTCGTACAAAAGCCAACGGTCTCTGAGGTAGTCCCGGATCATATCTAGCAAGTATGTTGGAACCTTGAATGACCGTTCCAAGGCCTCCAGCATGTCGTCCCATCTTGCCGAGTTGAAGGCGTTCTTGACGTCCAGTGTGACTAGCAGCACTATTGGCCGCGCCTGGTGGCAGGCTTCTTCGGCCTTATGTACCGACTCGACTACTTCGCCAATTGCTCCTATAGTTGAGTGTCCCTTCCTGAAGCCATGTTGTCGGGGTGAAAGGCCTCCCTCGCTTTCTATGGCTGACGTCAAGCGTATTTTGAGCAGTCTCTCCATCATTTTGCCTGCTGTGTCTAGCATGCAGAGTGGCCGGAAGGATGAAGGAGAGTTTGGGTCCCCTTTGCCCTTGGGTATAAGCACCAGTCTCGCCTTCTTCCATTGGCTCGGGAAGACCCGGGCCCTAAGGCAACTGTTGTACATGTTAAGCTGAAGATAAGGGCTCGTTTCCGCTGCTAACCTGATTGCATCCGCTGGTATGCCATCTGGGCCTGGAGCCTTGCCGGCTTTCATACTTCGCAGGGCTAGCTTCAGCTCGTCTGTCGAAAACAGTGCTGCCTCGGCTTGCCCCTCGATGAACACTGTGTCGGCTCTTAGTGGGTGTGTGGGAAATAGCGCATCCACTATATTCTTAACTCGGGCCTCATCCATCGCCTGTGATGGTGTATGGAACTTTTTCATCACTATTTTGTATCCCTGGCCCCAGGGAACGCGATCCACTTCGTCACATAGCGCTTTCCAGCAGTTCCGTTTACTCTTCTGTATCTCGGCCCCAAGTGCTTTCTTAGCGCTTTTGTAGGCTGCTGTTCTGGTCATAGCCTCAGGTCTACGACGAGCGCGCGTTGCGAGTCTCCGCATTCTATGGCAGGCCTTTCGTAGCTCAGCAATTCGGTCATTCCACCAGTATACCTGCTTTTTACCTGACCATGCTCTCCTCTGTAGCATTGAGGCTTTGCATGCCCGGTGACTGCAGCGCAAAGTTTCTTCGACCAGCTTAGTACAAGACTCCCTGTTGTGGATCTCTCCCGTTGTGGGTGAAATACCTTGGGAATCTGCTAGGAGTGACGTATCGAACTTGCGAACATCGACCCTAGACGGGTTCCATCCTGGTTTTCTGCGAGGGATACTACGTGTTTGCCCTCGCGTTATGTCAGTGACTTGGAAGGTGATGTAGTTGTGGTCGCTACCACTCAGGTCTTCCATCACTCTCCATACGTCAGCCCTCCGAAGAAGGCTTTCTGAGACCAGGGTTATGTCAGGGATAGAGTATCCAAAACCCGGCCTTCGATATGTAGGGGTCGTTCCGGTGTTGAGGAT